ACTTGTACATATCAATTCCCACATTTCCATCGATTATTTTCTGCCTAAAAATTTCAAATGCCACTGCTCTGCTGAAAAACTCCTACTCTAAAAATTAAAGTTCGGAGTGCCATTGCATGTAATTTTCCTTCACTAAAAGTTTATTAATCATATACTGATGTTGAAACTTTGATATCCCGTGTGAACCCTTGTCCCTGGCAAACTCAACATAAAAGATATCCAAACAAAGTACCCATCAATATTGTGTTACTTACGGCGTTATCACTACAAAAAAACACGCGTGTAGTCACAGACGGTACGAATTTGGTCCGTGACTAGTTAGTCACGGTCCTAGTCATGGTGTAGTCACGGATAGTTTAAAAAAAAAGTAGTCACGGATTAGGCCGTGACTATTGTCGAGACTACATGTAGTCATGGCTAGATCCGTGACTACTTTTCTCCGATAGCCCCGATTCTGCCGCCGGCTAGCCTATTTTTACTCCGGGGAGGTAGTCAAGGACAAATCCGTGACTAAATTCAAACATTTTAAAAAAAAATTAATTTTGGACGCGCAAAAATAATTCCCCAACGTTATTGTGTACGGAAAACATTAGTCACGGCTAAATCCGTGACTACATCCGTGACTACATTGAATAATATTTATTCCCACGCGTGGATTACACGTCATTTACACGCAATATACACGGGTTGCTTAGTCACGGACATGTCCGTGACTAAGACCGTGACTACATGTTTTATATGTGCATCAGCAACTCATTCAACAAAACCACACCTATTCATTCCCAAAACATACAGTATGGGAAAAATACCTATCTATGAGTAAAACTCATCTCAATTCCCAATATATGAGTTGGTATGTTTTTTTACCACCATATGACTACAAAAGGTTTTTAAAACTTGGCATCCGTATGGTGAAGAATATTAAAAGACCAAAATGACCATAAAACAAATACACGTAGAGGCCTCCAACTTCCCCTAAAGTTGCCGAATCTGGAATGAAAATAAATAATACACAACGGTTACCATAACTGAAGCATCATCTTAGGAAAAAAGACTTCTATGTCATATTATGAGAAAAGTTGGAACTTTTACTCACACGTCAGGTAAATTTCTCATACAGTATCTGTTTGAAAGATCGAAAGTAGAAACATGTAGTCTATCATATGTCATTTTCCCGTTTATGCAGATGAGGTATGTTATTGGAATTATTATTTTTTATTTGTAACTAGTTAGTTGAATTTATATTATTAAAACTATTACATTAAATTAGTCATGAGGTTGTTAATTAATTTACAGTATAGTTAGCCATTGTTAATAAATAAAACAATGGTATTTTAATAAATACCTGAAAAGGTAAAGAAAACTTGGAAATCTCAAATGCAATTGATACGCGCGCCAAGAAAACAAATGGGCGGTGCAAATGAAATAAAATGTGTAATGTTACATCTAGAAAAACTAAATATACTGGCAATTGAAAAGTTGGAAATGGTAGACTATGTAGTATTAAATATAGATATTATTGATGCCAACAAAATTTATCTAGAAATTTTTCTATGAACTGATACGTACGGTTTAAATTGGAAAAAGTGAGCCCACTACGTGTATTGGTAGATGCAGTGGCGGATCTAGGTATCGGAGCTTAGTGTATGCACATATATAATACAAATAGTATATTACATGAATTAAAAAAAGGCTAAATGAAAGGCCCTTTTTGAAAATAAAACCTTCTCACTTTATCTTGATCATTTGGATGATAACTACAAATTTTTGGACGTAATCCAAGGTCTGTGGGCAAATCATCTAACTTGACCTCAATCCGAGGTTGTTTAAAAGCACGAGACCCGCTAGCTTCATTATGAACTACATCACGACTTCCTCTTGTAACAATAACAAAATTATACATGGATAATGTATCTACAGAAAATGTAGAAATCATAATATGATTATAAATATGAACATTAGAATATGCCAATATTTAATATTATAATATGCTAACTGAAAAACGAAAAAAAAAATCCAAATTGGTTATTATTATTTCCCCCTAGTTACTATACAAATATAAAATTAATAACATACAAAAAGTAAAACTACAGTATTAGTTGTTTAAACGTGAAGTACGTTTAAGTACTAGAGATTAAAAATACAAAACTAACAATAATATTACGTATTAATTAGGCTTTAATAATTTAAGAAAAAAGAAATGAATAAAACCTTGAGAAGTTGAGTTGATGTGAATTCCAGATTTCCAGCTTCGGTCCTCTACTGCTCAGTCTGCTCTGCAATTTCATCCACACATAATACATATTTAAATAAATAAATTAAATAGATTGATTGTTTTATTGTTAAATAACAATAATAATTTTGAACAGTAAATGAATTATAACAATAACTAGTAATTACTAAAGCTTTAATGTTAGAGAAATAAAAAACCTGAAATAGAGCTAAGGAGTGTCAATAGCCATTCCCAGAACTCCAGAAGTGAGCCCCTGAGAAGATACGTACGTGCGTAATGCGTTGCGGCTGTTTTGGAAGAAAAAAGGGAAATAGAAGTTTTATAAAAAAAAATTAGATGTAGCCTTTGGGGGATTCGAACTACGGACCGGTAGCCTAATGAAGCATCTACTATTTTTGCTAGTACCAAATAGGCAAGTGATACTTTTTTATTTGAAGTTAGTGCTTCACCTAATTATAGTATAGGTCCGCCCCTGGGTAGATGAATATGTTAAGACGGAAAGCAGATTACCAGACCAGACCAGACCAGACTAGACTTGGATAGTTATAAAAATACAAAGAAACCAGACCAGACCAAACCAGATCAGACCAGATCAGATCAGACCAGACCAGACCAGCAAATTACAGTTCAAGTAAAAACATCCTAAGAAGCATTAAATATTCACATGTACGACAAACCTATCCAGAACACCTACCGATTTGCCTTGGAATGGTTTTGACGGGAACTTCTTCCCCAAGAAACCTTTTGTTATTTTATTAAGATAGATTCCAATTAGTATATCCTTAGAGTACAAGAAAATGGTGGAAAAATTTATAAGCAATGGTGGAAAAGATTCATAGCAAAACAATTACCACTGCATTATTGCATGCTGCAGGATTATTCATATTTGCATCCAAAACAACAGGCTTTGCAATATCCAAGTCTGCAGACTTATCAACATATAAAATGACAAACTTCATCTGCAAAGATCAACCAAAGAATACCATGAATAACAGAACTCCAATCTAGAGTTAATTAAGTATAGTACTATTTAATTACTGGCATGACCAAGAACTAGAATTTTTGTTAAAGCCTTAATTTGGGAACTAAATATTACTGCCTCTTGGGAAAACAAGATCAATTACATGATCAAGCTGCATAAGAAATTCAAAGTTAAAGCTAAGCCAGTATATATATGCATCATTCAGGTGGAAAAAAAGTAGCAAATAGCTAGGATTTGAAATATTAATAACACATTAAATTCTGTTTCAACTTTTCAAGGTAACACACCTTCAGCAATTCAGGAATGTTAATTTGAGGCCGAGTATATATGTTATGGTAAATTCCCATGTTTCAATTCATTAATCACCTCTATGGAGAATATTTATACACGTATTTATCTACAAAAGAGCCCTTAGCCCAAACTAACAAATACAATAAAATTAAACTAATTACAGTGGGCTAAGCCCATAATTAACACGCTAATAAGGAATCCCTTCTCTAGAAGTACCAGGTCCATTAAGTCTTTTATCAACATATTTTGCCTCGCAAAAAAAAAAAAAAAACATATTTTGGGACGACTTGGGTAACAACCTGATAAAAATATGAAAAAGTGATAAATTTAACACAACATTCTTAATACAGACTTAATGCATTATATTTTATACTACTATCATCTACAGAGCATTCTTATTAGTTACCACATAATAGAAATACACATGTATAGTCACATACTCACCTATGCTGGGGACAATAGCAAGGCAGAGGTTACCTCACAATCATTCTCCACTCCAAAGTTAACAAGAAAAGTCATAGGTTACACAACAGGACATTCAATTAATTAAATCTCAAAAAGAAGATTTGTATCAAACTGAATGCTTAACCAAAAGACAGAAAGAAATCTGACAACCGTTATCCCTCAAACCAGACTCGGAATTAATCGCCGCAACAATAAAATTCGCTGATCCATAATGGGGAAACAAACAGCCAGAAACAGTCACCCTATTCCTCTCAATCCCTAAATCCGAAAGCAACGTTTACAAACAGGAACAATAAAGAAAAAGCAAATAACAAAACGGGCATAAAAATTACTGGAAAAACAAATGAGACAAATAAAATAAATCTTCTTCAAAACCCTAGATTTGCTTCCCTTCCATTGGGACGGGTCCGTCGCTCATCCAGCATAACCTCAACATTAGAAATTATTTTAACGTGTTTTTTTATTGTTTATTGATAATAATTGATACCCTTCCCTCGGGGTCATATTTAGAGTTATTTTCCTTAAACAATGGATTAATACTCCCTCCGTCCCATTGGACTTTGCCAAGTTCTCTTTTTTTGTTGTCCCAAAAAACTTGACTATTTTCCCATTAAAATAACTATTTTGTGGTTTTGTTCATTTCTTTTTCTGCACACTTTTTAACCACACAATTTTTACTATTCTTATTTTTCACCTAACTCAATTAGTGCAAAGTCCATTGGGACATAGCTAATACGTAATATTAATTATGTTACTCTCTCCGTCCCTAAAAGAACTTCCAACTTTCCCTTTTCGTCCATCCCAAAATGAACTTCACTTTCCCTTTTTAACAAAGAATTTGTGGTCCACGTCATTTCTCTCTCTTCTGCACAACTCTCCACCATACAATTCTCACTTTCTTAATTCTCGTGACACTTTATTTTGGAAGAACATTTAGGGACGGAGGTAGTGTAAGCTCAAATTGGGGTTGGACTATTTGATTATAAATCGACAATAAATCTCAGGGCATAAAATAAACCTAGGTAGCCGCCATTTATTAACTCGGTCTGCAGTGCAGGAAGTTAACAACAGGTAGGCTAGGGTATTCTTGAGGGAAGATCGATGAGAGAGACGGCGACTCCGGGCTCCACCTTCTTCTTCCATCGCATTCCTCTGCCGGACTCGATCGGGACTGTCCAACTATGCACAGCGGTCTCTGTAAGCATGGACGAGGAGACGCATGAGAGATACGATTATGAACTAATTCGTCGGTCTTTAAGAATTCTTAGGACTTTCGTCGTGGCCATTGACCCAGTTGGCCACCGTTCTTTCGGTGGCAATAAGAGTACCATTACGATCCACAAAGGTGCTTGCATTAAAACGAAAATCAACTGGTCTGGGTCCTACAGTACGAAGGTCTCCCGCAATTTTCATGCCCTCAAGGTAGTTCACGATCCGGAATCCATATCCAGGGTGAAGGAAGATTTGAGAAGAAACCAGGGCTTAGAAGCTGATATGCACCCGAATCTGTTGAGAGTGAAGCACCATTTCACTGACCCCAAGTGCCAGAAGTTCTGCGTGGCTATAAAGCCGTTTCCCATCCGTTCTCTGAGAAGCCTGATGAAGAGAGACTTTCCCAAAGGGCTTCCGGAGGATCTCATCCTCAGTGCTTTAAGGTCTGTTCTCAATGCCCTCGGCTTTCTGCATAAAAAGCGCTTTCTCCACGGAGATATTAACGCCGCTCATGTTTACCTATGTAATCACACTCCTAAGGAGAGACGCACCCCTACCCGTATGGAAAGGGAAAAGCCTTGGCTTATCTATGAGAAACCCAACTTCTCCAATATCTGCTTGGGCTACGCGGCCGCTCTTTATGAGGACGATGAATATACGGAGGAGTACACCTCCGTATATTCGTCTACAGCGCCCGAAGTCTACTACGGCAATCAGCCCTACACCGAGAAGTCCGACGTCTGGCTCGTGGGAATCACCGCACTCGAATTGGCTTACGGACGACGGCTAACTATCTCGAATCGATATACCTTGGATTATGTTGTGGAACAGATTCTTGTAAGTAAAAAACTTCCCACCAAGGGTGGGATTCAGTGTAAAGAGAAGACGTTGAAGCATTACGTCCAAAAACTGGTGCCTTTCGGCTCTCCATTCAAAGGCTATGACAGTAGTACTGGCACCAATTCATTTTCCAAAAGCTTCACAAAGGTGGTGATGGAATGTCTGGCCTCGGACCCTAATCAGAGGCCGACCGTTGATCAACTTCTGTCATGCCGCTTCTTCCGAAGGAGCTCTAGCCGCAATGATGGGAAGCACGTTTATAATGCATGCTCTGCAGATGACTAGCTAATTCTAAGTAAGGCAGATGTAATCATCTCCATCTCCTCAGTCCTTATGCATCTCCTTTCACATGCAGCTTGGATATTTAATTAGTTTACTTAAATTTTGATCTTATGAAGATTCCCTTATGGTGTCTTCAATACAGTCATTCTCTTGTCGAATACTCCCCGGTTTCTAAAAGAAAGTCACAGTCAAACTTTTTGGGTCAAAGTTGTTAAACTTTGACTGCTTATTACTCAAAATTAATAATATTTTATCCCCAAAAAATCATATAATGTGCTTCATTGTAATATGTATTTTTCAAATATCAATTTATTATGAATTTGATTATTTTTAAGAAAACTTGAGAGAAAGTGGACGTCTCTAGGGTTATCCCTAGCTGGGTTTGTACCGGCGGCGACATATCAGCCGGCCAGTCCGGAGGTTGTTCTACCAAGAGTGGATAGCCGAGTCTCGGTGTTGTCCCTCTGGTCTGTTATTGAATCGCACAAGTGAGAAGGACAAGGCTTCTCTTTGGTGAAGGCTTTGGGTTTCCGATTTTAGTTGTGCTCCTGCTTTGGGTTCGTTCTTTTGAGGCAAGGCTCTGCCTTTGCTTGTGTTCGCACAGCTTCTTCGGTTTAGGTGGAAGCAGGTGCGTTTTTCGTTTTTTGGTTTAATTGCAGGCGACCAATTGAATCTTTTAACAGTTCTTGAACGGAAGATGGAGGAAATTGCAAATAAACACATACTCCGTACAAGGACATGGCTATTGGGGATCAGGAAGAACTAGTTGTTGGGTGTGTTTCGGAAAATAAAGAAAATTAATTAAAATAAATTAATTAAATAAAATAAAATGACTAGAGAAAAACAAGAAAGGAGATGGAGCAGAATTTGTCAAAGCTGCCATGTCCTTAAAACGTATTTGTTGCCTCCCACGGTGCTAGGAGCGTTGCAACAATCGTTTCCCAGGATACGATGACTACGAACTAATGTTTGAGCACACAAACAAAAGTTCCAGCGAACGAGAACACAGTATGAACACAGAGGAAATTTTCAGATTGCTAGCAGTGTGTTTTTAGAGGTGCAAAACGTGTATGAATTCGTGTAAGAACATTTAAGAACTTGTGTTGTTGCAAACCACCTGCCAGCCTTTATATAGGAGGATTTGTTGTGTGTAAATGGTGAATTAATGGACCTGAACGTTGGACATCAATGACCAGTCCGTTGGGCATTGAATCGTCCATGAACTGTCCATTTAACGCTGCATTAAAAGATAAGAACGTTGGGCATTAATTGTTGGAAAAAATTAAACGTTTCGGGGAGAAAACAAAAATTAATCGTATCTCTTGAGATACGATTTTTGGACGACATTCGTGTCCACAGGTCGCCCGCGCACGCAAGTCGCGGTTTTTCTTCTCCGAATTCGGGATTTGATTTGCACCCCCCCCCCCCCCCCCCGCGCGCGCGTGGAGAGAGCCTTTACCCTTAGGAATCTTAACTCCTTAAGGGGAGAGTCCCTTTATAAAGGGTTGCAAATCCCTTGGGTTTTCCGGTGTGGGAAATTAACACACTAGAAACCCATCATTTTTCCCAGTTTTTCCATTCTAACGGGTAAACTTCGAAAAGCGATTTCTCATTCACCCGTTATCCGTTTTGAGCGTACCATATATCGAATTGTAGCCCTTAACAAGGACAATCCGAAACCACTTTGACCCGATCGGAAGTGGACCCCACTCAGAAAATTGCCCCAAAATAGCCATTTAATGCAATTTTTCACACATTTTTCCAACACTAGTTGTTGAGGATGAGACGCTTGAGGAGGAAGGAGACTTGGCCGAGAGAAAAGTGGTACCAAGGATACGGCCTCTTCCTGAGCCACCGCCATGGGTGATGGTGGAGAAGAAAGCTAGTTTTGGTGTCTTTTTATTTATTTGTTTTGGTTATTTTAAATTGGGATGCTTGTTTCTTTTTAGTTTTGGTTTTTTCTTTCATTGTAAGACTCTTGTATTAAGGTGGGGAGAGGAAGAATCTGCGGTAACCGTCATTAGCTCTAAATTGCCCAAATTTGGTCTAGCGAGTTATATTGGTTTTTTAGAGGTGGTTAGCTCTCAGTCTCATCCACGGGCGGATGGTTATTTGTGGTTTTTTTCTTGTTATGTACCATTGGTGAATGCTATTTTTATGAATTAAGTCTTCTTCGAGCAAAAACAAAATATCAATTTATTATAGATTTTATAGTTATATATTAATAGGATATTACGGTCAAACATCCGCCTAGGAGACCGCAAAAGTCAAACTGTGAGTTTCTTTTAGAAACGGAGGGACTAGTACGGAGTACTTTCAATTCCCTCATTACTCTTGTGATGGATCATGGATGGTGATAAAATGTGAACATATACTATCATATATTCAAAAATGTCATGAATTTATTAAGAGAATTTGCTCCAAATAGGAGCAAAACATAAGTTTAGTGCAAAACTAGGACCGTCCTTTTGATATTCCGAAAATAAGAGCTTCAATTCCAAATTTATCCCTCTCCACATTTATTAATTACGTCCTGTATTTCTGACCCTCTTTCCTCCACGCAACCTCCTCCATCAGGCCTTATCTCTTGATAGTAATCTATAACCTCTCACTTCAGATTTCCCTGGAACATCTTATCTCTAATCTCCCAGCAACCACCATAGTCATTCCATCTCCAGAGTCCATACATCTTTGACTTATTTTAATTCGGATTCGGACAGCAATTGTTTCATGAAATAATTACATAAATATGATCAAAATAAAGATAGTTTACAAAAATATGACTCATTACTAGAATAGTAATGAAATCATAGTAATTCATGTTCAAGCTTTGAACTTAAGTTACTACAATACTACGTTGTAGTAATGAATAGTCATATTTATGTAAATAAGTTTTATTTTAGTAATATTCTTGTAAAAAACTCTTGTTTCATTATCTCCAGGTTTGTATTCGATCTCCTCCTCTTCTCTTCCTCCTCCTGCTCCCCCCCACTCCGTTTCCTTCTTCTCTTCCTTCATTTTCGTCCACCTCCGTTTTCTTCTCATTTTAGTCTATGTTAACTAATTATTCTATTTATTTTAAACAAAAAAAACTTTTGAATCTAAATTTTTTGAACTTCATACGTGAAGTGATGGTGATTTTTGTCTTCTATTTTCATCTTATTTTGATTTTTTATTTCAACTAATGATTTTATTTTCACTTTTTCAGAATCTAAATTGAATGTTTATGTTTTAGATCTTGAAAATTGAGATTAAAAAATGCAAGGCTTCAAATATAATGGTGTTTGACTGTTTGGAAATGGTCCGATTTCACCCTTTTCAATTCATTTTTATAATTTTATTTTAATACATGAATATTATTATTTCTATTCATTTTAAATTTGAAAATTATGTTTTTTTATCGGAACATGGCAAACTAATGCCACTTTCATAAAATGTGCCACTTTTTTCTTTTCATATAAACAAATGCCATATTATTATTTTTGAAAAGAATGGCATGTCATGCCATTTTTATGGCACTAAGCCACTAATTACATTTTTATGCCATATTATTTTTAGTGTCATGTTTTTCTCTGTACGAATGGTCATTTTTATGTCATATTATTTTTAGTGTCATGTTTTTCTCTGTACGAATGGTCATTTTTATGCCATATTATTTTTAGTGTCATGTTTGTCTCTTTACGAATGCCATGTTTTAAATGCCATGATTTTTTCTCCCAATATGCCATTTTTAGATCTGACTATGTTAATACATGGCACTCCTTTATGAAGATGGCAAAGCAAGAAACATGTCATTAGTTGTGACAAACTTTTTGCTAGAGATTTGTAGTGGTCTCTCCAAATGTACGTGGCGGCTGCCGGCAACGGCAAAGGTGACGGTGACAACACAGGCGGCGGAGAAAACACAGGCGGCTGTTGGCGGAAAAAGGCAAAGGAGGCGGCGATGGCAGTTGTGACGTCAGATGCAGCGACGGCGACGTCAGATGCGGTGGCGGCTGGTGGTGTCGCCGGAGTCGGAACGGGTGAGGGTGGCAGTCACAGCCTAGACTGTACCACTGCAACATCCGCATCTTGTTCGGTCTTGTATATTGGAGTATTATTAAAACAATCAGACATTTCATTAAGGGTATAATTGTCAACTCACGTATTTTTGCTCCTATGAAGGTATACGGAACATTAGACTCCTATGTTTGCATTTTAGTTAGTTATGTTTTACTCCTACATGGGGAATTACCCCTTTGTTAATACACTCTGTACTATACTGAGAGACGGAGAGCCGTTTATTAAGAAATAGAACCATTCATCTAGAACAAGGCTCACCAATTATAGGTGGTCAAAATTTTTTAATGGTAGCATTATACGGATTACGAAGTAATATAATGAGAAATGATTTGTCACTACGGATAAGCCCGTTTGATCGAAAAGCTTTCAAGTCGATTTGTTTTATGAAATTTTGTGAAAATATTCTTAATTAATAAACTTGAGATTGTGTCTCACAAAATTTTGTGGAGTAGTTAAAAATTCAACAAGGAAGTAAGTTAAGTAAGTTATTGAAAAATAATATGCATATACTTCAGCAAAATTATAAGCTCACATTTTATTAACATAATCTACCACTACAAAAAAACAACGATTTTGGCATGGATTTGGCACGGAGCTTTGGCACGGATTTGCCAAAATTCATAGGGTATTTGTCATGGATTTGGCATGGATGCGTCAAATCCGTGCCAAAGTCGTTTTGTCACCAGCTATTTGGCACGACGTTGTGCCAAAAATAAGTTACGATCCGTGCCAAACTCGTGTAATCCGTGCCAAGTCCGTGCCTATTTCGACGTTTTTTTACATCACACCTCACCATATCACACCTCATGACATAATTTACATCACACCTCACCATAATTTACTCCCTCCGTCCCACTTTAGTTAGCTAAACTTGATTTAATTTTTCAAGTCAATGGCGTCTAACTTAGACCGATTATATGTTTACATAGAGAAAGTATTGATAATACGAGAATTATATGTAAATGTTCTTTGTTAAAAATAACATCATAAAAGTATAAAATTATTAAATTATGCATAAATATATTACTAGTAATTAAAAAAATTTGTCAAAGTTTACCATCTTAGACCGAAAAAGTCAAAGATAACAAACTAAATTGGGACTGAGGTAATATTATGTAGCACTAGTAGGTGTACTT